CCAAATAAAGTCAGCTGGGGGCGGTGTAGCTGGTACAGGGAAGGCAGGGGAGAGTAGTGGAGGGAAGGCAGGGGAGAGTAGTGGAGGGAAGGCAGGGGAGAGTAGTGGAGGGAAGGCAGGGGCTAGTAGTGGAGGGAAGGCAGGGGCGAGTAGTGGAGGGAAGGCAGGGGCGAGTAGTGGAGGGAAGGCAGGGGCGAGTAGTGGAGGGAAGGCAGGGGCGAGTAGTAGAGGGAAGGCAGGGGCGAGTAGTGGAGGGAAGGCAGGGGGAGTAGTGGAGGGAAGGCAGGGGCGAGTAGTGGAGGGAAGGCAGGGGCGAGTAGTGGAGGGAAGGCAGGGGCGAGTAGTGGAGGGAAGGCAGGGGCGAGTAGTGGAGGGAAGGCAGGGGAGAGTAGTGGAGGGAAGGCAGGGGAGAGTAGTGGAGGGATGGCAGGGGAGAGTAGTGGAGAAACGTAGGAAGGTAGTGGCGGGAGAGAGGGGAGACGAAAGGCAGAGGGAAGGATGGAACAGAGTTGTGGCTGATGCTCGGGGAGGATCATAATAATAATCTTTATTTCTACAAGTACATGAACAACGTATACAGACCTGACTGACATCAGTGACATGCTGTACAGAAAGCCCCTGGTTATGCCAGGATCAAATTAGGTTAATTTTGTCCCTCAGAATGCGACCCACACCAGTCTGCTAACACCCAGGTAGCTACTTACTGCTGGATGACCAGGGTAGCAGGTGTCTTAAGGAAATATGTTCGGGAAACAGTGGTGGACAGAGGACTGATGGAGGACATAACGGAGAGCTGAATAACAGGAAAAGAGAGCACAGAAAGGAGAAAAAGAGGAAAAGTCAGATATAGAAGAAGAGGAGAGAAGGTCGAATAACGAACAAGAGGAAATAATCAAAGAAGAGATAGATGGCAGGAGAGAAAAGTGAAAAGAAATGAAAAAAAATTATCGGTGAGAGAGAAAGACGAACATGCGAGGAGAAAAGAAGAGATGGAAACTCAAAGGACGGAGGACAGGAAGGAGAAGAAAAGGGACATTATAGACGACAGGAGAAGAAACACACTCGAAGAGACGTCGAGAGAGAGAGAGAGGAGAGAGAGAGAAGAGAGAGAGAGAGAGAGAGAGAGAGAGAGAGAGAGAGAGAGAGAGAGAGAGAGAGAGAGAGAGAGAGAGAGAAGAGAGAGAGAGAGAGGAATCTCAAAGTCGGAGATGGCGATAATCAGTTGATATGAGGAAGGGAGAGTAGCAATGATCAGCATTCCTTGAACATAGACACGTGCTGAGGAGGAGAGAGAAATACATCAAAGTCGGGAGAATGTGCGATAATCAGGTTTGATATGAGGAAGGGGAGAGTAGCTCCAATTCCTTGGATCAGCATTCCTTAACCATCAAGACACCGTGCTCGGAGGAGGGAAAGAAATACACATACCCACTCACTCAGCACCTGGACCAGATTCATGGAATGTCCTATTTATAAAGAAGTGCAAAGTACCACTAGCACGAGCCCTCAGTATTCTTTGGGGAAAGAGCTTAGATCTAGGTGAAATACCGGAGGCCTTAAGAGTGTAGACATAGCTCCTTTGCACAAGGGAGGTAGTAGAGCACTAGCTAAAAATTACAGACCAGTAGCCCTACCCTCTCACATCATAAAAATCTTCGAAAGAGTGATGAGACGGCAGGTTAAAAATTTCATGGACCAGCACAACCAACATAACCCGAACCAGCATGGTTGTAGAGAAGGACGATCATGCCTGTCACAGCTGCTGAAGCATTATGACAATTACGGAGGCATTGGTAGACGACCAAACGCAGATGTGATTTACACAGATTTTGCAAAGGCGTTTGACAAATGCGATCATGGAGTGATAGCGCACAAAATGAAGGTCATGGGCATTACAGGGAAGGTAGGCAGATGGATTTTCGGTTTCCTAACACACAGAACACAAAAAGTAGTAGTGAACAGGGCAAGATCCAGCATCAGCGAGGTCAAAAGCTCAGTGCCCCAAGGCACTGTCCTGGCACCTCTGCTGTTCCTCATCCTCATAGCAGACATAGACAAAAACACCCGGCACACTTTTGTATCATCATTTGCAGATGACACTAAAATAAGCATGAAAGTCACTACGGTAGAGGACACTGAAAAAGTACAGGAAGACATAAACAGGGTTTTCCAGTGGGCAGTGGAGAACAACATGACGTTCAACGGTGATAAGTTCCAGCTGCTTAGGTATGGAAAGAATGAAGAACTCAAAAGGAGCACTATATACAAAACTCGAGAGGGTCACCAAATGGAACGTAAGGAAAACGTAAAAGACCTAGGAATAATTATGTCAGCGGACCTTTCTTTTAAAGACCATAACAAGACAAAGATCACGACAGCCAGGAAGATGACTGGGTGGGTATTGAGAACTTTCAAAACAAGGGAAATAATGCCGATGGTGACACTGTTAAAATCGCTAGTGCTCCCTCACTTAGAATATTACTCAGTGCTGACGGCCCCG